ATTGATACTGATACTACCTGCAGAGCGGCAGGGAGCAATGGCGTGCTGATAATTTTAGGTTGGGGGAGGGCCCATTTGACCCTGTCAACTTTTTAATCATCATACCAATAGAAACAAAAGTTATTTGTTGAAAAAGGCAATGTCCCTGAGCTGGACCCACTATGGAACGTTAACAGATTAGGCAAGCAGCTTATCAAGGTAATTGATTTTCTCTCAGGAGATGCTTGCAAAGATACCAGTTGCATTGTGTAATGGCCAAACACCCCCTTGTGTGTGCATGTGTGTTTATGAAATATGACAGAACAAGCATGCAGAAATTATAATTTATATACAGGCAAGTGTGAAAACACCATGCCTCCAAACTTTCTGAGATGAGAAAAAAAAGGGACACCTTCCAGCACCATGTATTTATGCAATGGACAAACTTATGCCATGCTCCCAAACAGCATAATAATTCATTTTGTCCAATACTAAAATCGTCATCAAATTTTTGTCATCATCTTACGGAATATTAAAACCATCCCGTTTCTGCCATCTCAATGTCCCATTTTTGGCTCAGCCTACTTTATACTGGCTTTCTTTAAAATAGTAAACCAGATAATTGAGATAAAAGGTTTTGGTACAAAATAACACTTTTGATAAACAGTACATATCCATAGATATTGTATTATGTACCACACACCAAAATGAGGGACAACTCAGAAGGGAAGATGGACAGAGGGATCTGGTTTTAAATGAAGGAGATTTGGGAGGTAGAAAAAACACTAAGGGCCTATTCACACCATAGCGTTGTGTTAAAGGCGCCATATCCATGCATTTAGCGCATGCTTTTGTGCTTGTTGTATTGTGCTGCCATTCATTTGAACGGCACCCCAACGCTCCTCCCGGCGGCCGTACGTTGCAGTTGAATCCGAGGGGAACAATTTTGTGCACTGTGGTGAAAAAAAAGTAATGTGTGCACAATTTTTTTTTTTACTGCACCGCAACACAAGTTATTGTAGTACTGCTCTCTTTACCCTAGGAGGTGCATTGGGATGCATTCAAATGAAGGACAATACAATGTACCCAATGCACGGTACCACGTGCTAGGTGCGAACATGTGTACTTAAGGCATGGATACCGCATGTTTAGGGCAAAGCTATGGTGTGAATGGGCTGTACGGCACAATATTTTTCACTTCAGAAAACAACAACTGCCTACTACACATGCAAAAATCTCCAGAACATTGTGTGGGAGTATACATAAGAATGAACATACTGAGGCCTTGTTATTATTATTATTATTATTATTACTACATAGAATTTATATAGCGCCAACAAGTTTGCGCAGCGCTTTACAATATATGGAAGACGTTACAGTTACAATACAATTCAAGACAAGATGGTAAGGAGGGCCCTGCCCCTGAGGGCTTACAATCTAAAAGAGGAGGGGGAAATGATACGAGGAGGTAGCTGTGGTAATGAATTATGTGAGAATGTGAAGGTTCAGTGGTTAGGTTGAGGTGGGATAGGCTTCCCTGAAGAGATGAGTCTTTAGGGAACGCCTAAAGGCAGTCAAGGTGGGAGATAGACGGACAGGTTGGGGTAAGGAGTTCCAGAGGATGGGAGAGACTCTAGAGAAGTCCTGGAGGAGAGTATGGGAGGAGTGGACAAGGGAGCTGGAAAGCAGGAGGTCAATGGATGAGCGGAGGGGACGGTGTGCATTACATAGCGGTAGCTGCTGGAACGCACCACGATCGCCGTGAAACTTCCCCCCGCATTTTGGGGCGGGAGGGGGCGTGGCGGTGCATTGTATTCAATGGCACCGTGATCGAACGCGTGGCAAAACTTTGCCAGCGTTGCGTTCAACTGCAAACGCAAAAAATAGGGCAAGCACATGCTTTCAGTGTGAACAAACCCTGAAGTAGGTTTCATGGGGGGG